AATGACCCTCCCGGAAAAGATCCGGCAGCGATCCCTCGTATCTCACCAAAATGTCAGTTATTAAGTCGGTCACCACGAACTCCATCTCTGGAGATGAAGGAATCTGCCCCACACTGCCCTCCAATACCAGCCCGCCGAGCCTGAACTTTGACCTGGTGGGGTTCGCGGTGTACTTTGCTAACGCATCCGTTGGGGTCACGTAGAAAACGAGCTGGTCTTGGAACTGGTTGAGAACGATGATGATAAATCCAGCAACGCAGCTGAAGGATAGGGCGTAAGTCCAGAGACGACGCGTCTGCATCTGCCTGGCCCGAGCGATGGGGACGGCTCAGGGTGGATACGGATCGGAAAAATAGGGTGCCATGGGAGAGGGCATGGGATGGATGGGAATGGGATTGGAGAAGAGAGACTAAAAGAAGAGATCTCGGATACCTGGTGGCTGCGGCGGCACTAGAAGTGGTGGCTGCGGCGGCGCCGGCGGTACTAGAAGTGGTGGCGGAACGGAGGAGCCTAGACGCGAATCGGATGGCCATGTCGAGCGAGAGCGACTTGTAAATTCAGAAATACTCCGTATTGTTTAGAGTCATAAATAAATTAGGGGTGAAGTGGTACACCCGATATAAACTTCAGTTAACTTTATAAATTCAATCATTTTTTACTTTTGATTCATAATAATAAAAAATAAATTGTTTAATTTCTAGATTATATATTACATATATTCAGCTTCAATTATTTAAAAGTTTATAAATAATTTAATTTCTAAATAGTTTTAAATGAATATTTAGAAAAATGGCGCGAAATCTTTAAAAAAATGTTTATAATGTCCATTACGCATTACGATTTTTACTGGAGTTATTTTCAAATTTTTAATATGAAAATTAATGTGAAGTTTAAAAAATTATATATTTAAAAATTACATCAAAAGATATACAAAACTAGATATGATATGACTATATTATTTTATTGTATTATCAACAAATATAGGCGTACAAAGTAAATAAAATATGACCTTGAATAATGAATGGAAAGATAGTTTTTAAATGGATGGAGTAGTTTAGCGTCAATTATATAAAAAAATTTTGGAGGAATTATACAACTATTTTACCAAAAAATTACAAAAATATTGAAATCTAGAACTGTTAAGGAATCATTAATGCCCCCACGCGGTGAAGTGGCAAGCTCATAAATAGTCGCCAATGTGTATGGAGAGATAGATGCTCTGAAACAAATAGGTAAAAATGCTACAATATGACATAATACTATGCCAATATTCTCAAATGAGTGCACAATCAATGTGCAAGCTACCATTTGTAGTCTTTTAATGATAACTTCTACGAGGGCATTTTGTGTATGTACGTGGGGTTAAAAGATGCTCTACATTGACCTCAATGGTCATGCAGCAATAATCAAAGTTCTTTGATGCAAACTCCACGTCATTACAGAAGAGATGAATCGATTCGGATATTATCGGTTTCAGATCTAATCGGTTTTGGATTTAAATCGGATATAAAATATTTAGTTTGGTTTCTGTTCGATTCGGATTATTTTGAGTTTTTGGTTATAGATCTTCATTTTTTTTGAAATATTTCAGTTTTGATTTTTAATATTTTGGTTCATGTAATCAGTTTCAGTTCTGTTTTACCAGGTCTAGAGTAGTTATTATGGAGTAATCCCAATACATACATGCTACAAGCAATGCTCTATTGTTCTCAGGGTTGAAGCAAAACCTACAAAAGCCTTTAAGTGAAATTTGCACTAAATATGACTAAAACATAATGACTTTCCCAATGTAGGACTTAAACTTTTTTTTCCCTAAATATGACTTAATAATGACCATGTGGAAGAAATAATGTCCAGTAATGATGAACATTTCGTTAAATAATGACTACTTGATAATGACCAAAGGTTCTACATTGGGAAATAAAAACATACGGTCCTATATCAAGAAAGGCATTATGTTTTAGTATTTAATTTCTCTTTAATATTCCCAGTGGCCTTCGTTCTGAAGATTCATCAGCCCCTTCGTCAACCAGATGGCTGTTTCTCTTGACGAAACAGCATCTTCCCCAAATGGTTTTAAAACGCCTGCAAGCTCTTCCAGCTTTTCATGCTTGAGAAGGTCTGCACAAAGTTCTAGAAGTGATTCCAGGGCTTCTGCTCTTTCATTACCCAACTCGCTCCATTTTATTCTTGTTAGGTTGTTTCCCTTGAGATAATTCGGGCTGCCCGTTACTGAAATGCCGCTTTCCGTCCTCTTGTGACGGTCTTCATTCTCTGTTTTCTTCAATTCTTCTGACCTGCCTCCTTCTTGGGTAGGTTGGCTTTGTGGTTTCCTGGAAATCTTTTCTGCCGCTTTACTTATTAATCTTGAACATTCATCCTTTTTGGAGATTTGGTCCGTAGAACCACTCAGTTCTACCTTCCTACTTTCAAGATTTGGGAAACAATTACTGTCTGCAGTCGCTTTCACCTCTGCAACTTGTTTAGCTGCCACATGAACTCTCTCTGCAACGGGTTTTTCTTGTCTTTCCATTGCCACTTTGTGGGTATTCATTGATGCATGCTTGAGACGCCGTCTTGTAGTCACGACGGGTTTTGCCTTCAAGTCCTCAGCAGGCAGTAGTGGAAGAAATGCAGGAGGCAGATCACGGCATTGCCACAGGTAGGGATGCAAATGTGGATGCCTTAGGAGCTCTGCAGCCTAAACATTTACCACATAAGTGGTGTTACCATTTTTCCCTCAACAGACATTTTAAACAGGTTTCAGGCTAGCCCGAACCACTTTTTTATAGATTAGGCCAGACCAAAAAACAAAGCTTTAATCTGGCATGACAATTTCGGTGAGGATCAAGCCTGTTTAGAGCATGGCTTGTTTCCATCCCATAGCCTAGCCTATGAGCTGAAAGCCCAGGGACTAACCGTGGGTCTGTGCTGTGGACTCTTTCTTAACATGCATTTGATCAAACACTTCCTGCAATGTAATATTACATGCAGTGCTCATTAGTAACTCATATATATGCAGCTTTCTTTTGGATTGAGACTGTAGAAGATAACAACACTAGCTTACAATGCTGATGAATATATAGTAGGAAGCGGAGAAATGGTGGATCGTTTAATCTTGTTAACTAGTCCAGCCATATCCTGTTTGTTCAGCAAGGAGTTGAACCAGCCATCCAGTTGAAGACCATTGCGAAAGAAAACCATAGCATATATGCAAAAAAACTTACATGAGCTCAAAATGCAGGCTGATGAGCTGCTATCTCAATGTTTTAAAAAGTAATACCAGTGTTGTAAGTGCCATTAGGCCACAGAAAGGTTTACAGCCTGGTCAGAATTAATAAGGATTGGATGAGAAAATTAAAACCAAAGCAATCAGGTAGGGGTGTTGTTACCTAGAGACCATATATCTGATTTGTAGCCATAGGGTATATCGGCTAGGAGCTCCGGACACATGTAATTTGGAGTTCCCACTATCTTGAAGAGTCAGAATAAACACAAGTTCAAGTTCAAAACACGTTGAAAACAAAAAAGAATATCAGAAAATATATTGTCACCAAAGACGCAAGATCATCCTGGTTAAGCATCTTTGCCAGGCCAAAGTCACCTGTCGGATGAGCAATCCAATAACCTTATCAGATCATGTTCATGAATGCAGGGACACCATCTACTTTGGGATTGTTGAAGTTGTACATAAATGCGCGATTAATCCTTACCTAGTCGGATTTCATCATCCTTGGTTAGGAAAATGTTGGAGCACTGCAGTCAAGAACAAAACGCAGGAAAAAAAAATCTATGTAAAACAAGGAAGTACATTCATAAGTCACTTCGTGTATACTACTGGAAGAGATTGTAGACATTAATTACTTTGAGATCCCTGTGGAGAATGTGGTTGGAATGAAGATAGTTGAGGGCTAACAACAATTGAGCCAGCCATTTCCAAAGCCTCTGTGGAAGGAGAATTATATCTCTATTCATCAGTAACTGCAAACAATTCATTTTGTTTATCTATTAAGATTCCTTACTTCTTCTGAGAAGAACACTCCTCTTGTTCTCCTTATCATCTCAGCCCTGCATGTTCATGATAAAAGTTTTAAACAGTAAGCCATTTTCTTGCGAGAAAAAGAAAAACAGGCTTTAAGAAAATGCTTCTAGCAACTCACATGTCGCCTCCCTCACAGAAACTTGTCACAATGCAAACAGATAATCCCTGCAGCCCGTGGTGATAAAATAGTTTGTCACTTTAAGAAAAAAAGTTTAAAGTCTATAGTTTTTTTACCTTTTCCACCCAACCGTCCTTGTATTGCACAATGTAAGGGTTATATAACTTGGCTATTAAATTCATCTGCAGATTACGAAGTATATAAAAATATCAGAACCGTTCTTTGCTTCTTTTTTTTGTCTTTCGTCTGATAAACGAAGAAAGTTTAGCTAGGTTAGCTAACCTCCTGGTATGCTGTGATCTTGAACTTGTCATTCTGTTTCGCTAGACGAATTTTCTTCAGCACATACCTGCAGGTTAAAAGTTTCCATAGTTTCAGTTTCTTAAGATATTTCTTTATCTGGAGAAAGAAGAATGGGAAAAAAAATTACTTCTTTGTGCAGCTCCGAAAGCACCCTTGCCTATTTGCTCAATCACTTCATGGCCCTAAAGAGGCAGTGATCCACATGTACAAAAAAGGAATATTTTTCACATCAGTACAATAAGGGTTACATTTTGCATTAATATGCATACAAATAAGATGATGGTGGAGAAATGAGATTAGAAGAAAATGCGAAAGAAGTGCCTTGTGGAAATTTTCAAGTGAAGGAGTGAAGTTTTTGGGACCAAATCAAAATGGGAAAGAAGGGAAAGCTGTGTGTGTATTGACAGATGGGCAAAATGCTGAATTTACACTTAGAAAAAGGGAAAGTTTGCTTATGCAATGGGGATTCTGTTGATTCATTAATGTGTGGGGTGTGGTGTCACTGTCCTTCAACTGAATATCTATATACCCTTCACCTTGTCCTTCACTTCTCAACAGCTACATATTCACATTGGATCAGAACAATCAAACCCAGATATTTTTTTTAATGTTTATTCATTCTAGCAGTGGACCATACCAGCAGGGGATATTGAAAAATGGAAGCTTAATTAGCTCTGAAATAACAACTGGTGTGTGGCTCCAGAACATTCAAGAATTCATTGATATCTGGTTTAAATGCTGCAAAGCGTTTTTAGACTCCTTCCACCTCTACTTTCCACTACTGCATTAAATACACACTCTAATGGAGGAAGCCAGAGGAGTGAACATGCAGAACATATATATAACAACTTATAGTTTTTAAATTCCAAAAAAGACTTTGGGTCCCTTAGAGTTATAGGTAAACATATGGTTTTTTGAGTGGGGGGTGCCATCGGCGACCCTCACCTCCGGTCAAAGTTCGCCTGAAATCTCAACTTTCTATCTTTTTTTGTGCTACCACGAAGAGACAGTCACACCAAGACACAACCATTACACGGATTACCGGAATGCCCCTCACCGGGTCGCTCAATGGTGAGGGACGAACAAATGGCTATTCAATCTATACTTCTTCCGGATCAAAATAAAATGTTCTTACGTTTTTGTATGGAATGTAATAAAAGTTAAAAGTGTATGTTGAAGAGTATGTAAGAAAAAAAAAAGAAATAGTGCAAACAGCTCCACTAAAAGAAATGAAACCTTTATTTTGTGGGGAAAATGTATTGAGGTACCATTTGTATCATCTAAAACAATGCTTCCTTTGTCTCAATTTAAACTCTCCATTTCGGTTTATAATATTATGTCCTTCACTAAAATTATTATTATCCTTATTATATATATACTCCCTGCGTCCGGAAATAATCTTCCCATTTCTCCCTTTTCTCCGTCCGGAAATAATCTTCCCATTTCAATTTTTGATACACTAACTACCCAAAATACCCCCACTTACCATTGTCACTCTATCTCTCTCCTCTCCCCTTTCTCTCCCATCCCTCATTTCCTCGCCACTCACACCTTATCTTTTTCTCCTTCTCTCCTCCCTCTTCTCTATTTTTCATCCGTTCCTCCTCATCAAGCCTTCCTTCTCTCCTTCCTCTTCTCTTTTTCTTCTTCTTTTCCCCTTATTCTTCTTCTCCCCCCTGTTCTTTCTCCAGATTAGTTCGTCTTTCTTCTTCTTCTTCTTCTTCTCTTTTTCCAATTCTTCCCTTCCCTCTCTCGCAGATCTACGGTTCTTCTTCTTCTCTTTTTCCAATTCTTTTATTTCCTCTCTCGCAGATCTACGGTAGATCTGTTCCCTTTTCTCTGTCTCCTAGAGGTAGAGATGGTGGCGGCTATAGACGATGGCGCGAAGGTGCTGGGGGTTGAGGGGTGATGGTGTTAAGGGTTAAGGCGAGAGTGGTGGGGGCTGGTCATTCGCCGGCGATGATTGGGGGGGGCGGTGGGTGCTAGCCTCGGCAGAGACTAGGGTGGTGTTGGGGCTGTAAAAGAGTAAAACATGTAAGAAATGAAGGGTATATTAGACATTTCTCTTCCAAAGTCAACCATTCAAAAAAATGAGAAAAAGTCCAAATGGGAAGATTTTTCCCGGACGGAGGGAGTATAAAACAAACATTCTCATTTGAGATGGAAGGAGTACAAATTAGTCATACTTAAAATTTTAAGAGTTTTGGCCTATGTATTATTTTTTGTTCAATTTGATCCTTTGTTAACTTTTGCCCTTACCTACTGTCTCGAATTGTTAAAGCGATATCGTGTAACTTTATTTTAGGTGACATGGAAAGTGTTTTATGGGCATGATAATGCATGCTCCGTACTTTTTTTAATTCTTTTTTTGCCATGGACAACATATTTTTAGACGTCATGATTTTAACAATTCAAAGCATTCAATAATGTCAAAAATAAGTGGAAAGGCTGAATTAAACAAAGATAAATAGTATAAAGAATAAATTATTTCAATTTTTAGCATAAAATTAAATTTTGACAATTTTAAACAATAACGAACCTCTACGTTATTTTCTCCTCTTTTGAAATGTCCTAAAAGGAAATGTACCTGTAAAAACTTTGTTTTGGAGGGGATTGTATTTTACTATTTTCCACCCATGATAAAAATTACTTCCTCTATTTCTTTTTAACCAATCATGTACGTGGTAAAATGAATGAATGTAAACCTAAAACATGTGTGCATTCATTGAGTTTTTGATGTATCAATTGTAATTAATGGAAGGGTCTTGAGCATCCAAACGAACACAACGCTTTCATCTCTGAAAGCCATTATTGCACTACAGAGATGCACTGGCTAAAGAATGTACCATGCCATGAAGTCATCAACTATGATTTCACATCCAGTTCTACAAACAAACAAAAAATGGAACAGTCAAAATTAGGACCCAAAATGAGTTCACATAGAAAATCCACTGGATTCAGTTTCAAGATACTTGCACATCCTTTCCATCACTTCCCTTCCCTTAACATTGTTCTGCTGGAACCTCTCCACACACTTCTGCTCAATCTTCTCTGCCATTGATGCCAACACTGACAGCGGCTTATGGAGAAGATATCTTATTGGTCCAAATCTATGTGGACGACATCATATTTGGCTCTACTAAGGAAGCTCTTTGCACCAAATTCTCCACCCTCATGCAAGGGAAATTTGAGATGAGCATGATGGGGGAACTCAACTACTTCCTTGGCCTTCAAATCAAACAGAGAAGCGAAGGGATTCTCATCTACCAAGCCAAGTACACAAGGGATCTTATCAAGAAATTTAAAATTGACCAGAAGTCATCCGTTTCTGTCCCCATGAGTACATCCACCAAGCTTGATATGGATGTAGATGGAAAGGATGTTGATCAAACTCTCTACAGAGGAATTGTTGGATCTCTACTCTACCTTACTGCAAGCCGTCCGGATATCTCATATGCAGTAGGTGTTTGTGCCAGATTCCAGTCAAAGCCAAAGGAAAGTCATCTAATAGCAGCTAAAAGGATTCTTAGATACCTCAAAGGAACTCAGAACATGGGTTTGTGGTATGCTAAGAGCAGTACATTTGAGTTAGTGGGATACTCAGATTCTGACTTTGCCGAATGCAAAGTTGACCGGAAAAGTACATCTGGTACTTGTCAATTCATTGGTGGAAATCTTGTTTCTTGGTTTAGTAAGAAACAAAACTCCATCTCTACTTCAACAGCAGAAGCAGAGTAGATTGCTGCTGGTAGTTGTTGTGCTTAGATTTTGTGGCTAAAGCAACAACTACTGGACTATAGAGTCAAGACAAGAGACATCCTAATCCCCTTTCCAAAAAATTCTCTTTCTCTCTCCTTTCTGTTATTAGCTACGAGATTTCCTTCTTCCCTACGAAATCTCCTCGCCGGTAACATTGGTATCAGAGCGGTTCTTTCCGGCTGAGAGCTGGCGATTACGAGACGCAAAGCAGCACAGATGGCAACAATAGAGGAGGCCTTGAAAGCTTTGGTGGATCAGCAAAAGGTGTTCGCAATCCAGATGGAACAACAAAATCGCAAGATCGAGGATCAACAAGCGATGTTTGGACAAATAATGGAGCAGATCAAGTCTATCGCCCAGGGGGAATCAACTTCTACACCTGGAAGCAACCGGAATCAGGAGAGGAGATCAGAATCACACAATCCGAGGCAATTACATTTCAATCCCAAAGTAGAGTTTCCTCAATTTGATGGATCAAATGTTCGAAATTGGATAAAAAAATGTGTGAAGTATTTCATGTTGTGCCGAATTCCTGAGGAGAAAAAAGTTGATCTAGTCTCTCTGTATATGACCGGGAAGGCTGAGATGTGGTATAGTAGTTATACTATCGGGAGGAACAACATCATGTGGGAGGATTTTGTTGTAGACTTGTGCGCCAGATTTAAAGACGAGTTGGGTTCAAAATTGGTTGAAGAATTCAATAAACTGCAGCAGGGGAGAAACTTAGAGGAGTATGTGGATAAGTTTGAGGAATTAAAGTCTTGTATGTTGATGAAGAATCCCCTCCTCCCCCCTGAACACATGTTGGACAGTTTCATTGGAGGCCTCAAACCCCATCTCAAGGCTTATGTGAGGGCCTTTAAACCTGAATCACTGGCGGAAGCAATTGAGTATGCAAGGTGTGAAGAGGAAACTGTGCAGGCCATAAAAGTGCAGGACAGAACAAGCAAACCAGTTTTTAACAGCAACAAAGCCTTGTTACCAACCCCTAATAGTGCTAAGCCTGTTAATTCATTACCTGTGACCAGCCTAAGTTCATTCCAGCAGCAGTGAGAGCGGAGAAAATAGCTAAAGGGTTATGTTATTACTGTGATAAACCATTTGAGAAGGGGCATAAATGTTCAGAGGCACACAACTATTCTTAGTAGAAGTGGATACTGTTGCTGAAGGGGGAGAAGGGATTGAGCTATGAGACCCAAAACCTCAAATGGAAGAAGAGAGACCTCTGATTTCAGTAAGTGCCATAAGTGGCAATCAAGGATTCCAAACCATGAGGGTGACTGGACATTATGGGCAAAAGCCATTGCACATCCTCATTGATTCTGGCAGTACACATAATTTTCTGGACATAAACCTAGCCAAAAAGCTGGGGTGCAGATTGGAAGCCATAATGGCCAAATCTGTGATAGTAGCTGATGGCAACCAACTCAAGTGTGAATTCATGTGCAAGGGGTTTGAATGGAAACTACACAGAAGCCTTTTCTAATCTGACATGCTTCTCATTCCGTTGGGAGGATGTGATGTAGTCTTGGGGGTACAGTGGTTAAGCACCTTGGGACCAGTCAAGTGGGATTTCAGCAAATTGGAAATGGAATATGTGTTCAATGGTAGTAGGCATCTTCTAAGAGGAATCAAACAACAAGTGGTAGAAGTAAAGGCTAACAACTTAGTCAAGCTTTTAAATGCATCTAGCCAGCTCTGTCTGTTACAGATCAAGGCCACAATAAGTGAGGAGGTCAAGCATGATCAATCTGAAATAGCAATGGAAACTCCTAAGCAACTTCAGGAGTTATTGGAAGAATACCATGACTTGTTCCAGGAACCTAAAGGGTTACCCCCACCCAGAGGGATATTTGATCATGCAATACCATTGCAACCAAACACTAATCCTGTGAACATCAGACCTTACACAGACAAAAGGATATAATTGAACATATTGTGGAGGAAATGAAGCAAAGTGGCATAGTCCAAGATAGTGGCAGCCCTTATGCCTCACCGGTAGTGTTGGTTGGGAAGAAGGATGGTAGTTGGAGACTCTGCGTGGACTATAGGGAATTAAACAAACAAACTGTGAAGCATAAATTCCCTATTCCAATTGTGGAAGAATTGATTGATGAGTTAGCAGGGGCAACAGTGTTCAGCAAGATTGATTTGAGAGCTGGTTATCACCAAATAAGGGTGTTAGAGAAGGATGTTTATAAAACAGCATTTAGAACTCACCATGGCCATTATGAGTTCTTAGTAATGCCGTTTGGTCTTACTAATGCTCCTGCTACTTTCCAAGGCCTGATGAATGCTGTGTTCAAGAACCAACTCAGGAAGTTTGTATTGGTGTTCTTTGATGACATACTCATTTATAGTCCAACTTGGGAACTTCACTACATCCATCTCAGGGAAGTGTTCAACATTATGAGGCAAAATCAATTATTGGCAAAAAGGAGTAAGTGTGCTTTTGGAGTGCTGAAAGTGGAATATTTGGGACACTATATATCTGCCCAAGGAGTGTCTACTGATCCCAACAAAGTAACAGCTGTCAAAAATTGGAAGGTCCCTAACTATGTCAAGGAGTTGAGGAGCTTCCTAGGACTGGCAGGATATTATAGGAAATTTGTCAAAAACTATGCAAGTATCAGCAAACCTCTCACAGAATTATTGAAGAAAGGAGCTTTCCAGTGGTCTGACGAAGCAGGCAGGTCATTCCAGAGATTGAAGGAAGCACTCTGTTGTGCCCCTATATTGGCTCTACCTGACTTTTCAAGCCCTTTTGTTGTAGAAACTGATGCATCACAAGAGGGAATTGGGGTTGTCTTGATGCAGAATCAACATCCCATAGCCTATATTAGCAGATCATTGGGACCCAGGTGGCAGGCACTATCAGTCTATGAAAAGGAGTTGTTAGCCGTGGTGTTTGTTGTACAAAAATGGGAACAGTACCTAATTCACCAGCCTTTCACTATTAAGACTGACAAGAAAAGTCTTAAGTGGCTATTAGAAAGTAAAATCTCCACTCCGTTTCAACAGTTCTGGTTATCTAAACTCATGGGCTATAGCTATGACATCCAATATAAAAAGGGAAAGGAGAATCTAGTTCTGACGCTCTTTCCAGGCAATTAGGGGCGGAAATTTTATGTTTGGCACTATCTTCCATTGACACTACACTATTACAGAACATTAAAAACAGTTGGGCACTTGATCCCACAATTATGAGCTGTCTTCAATCCTTGCAACAAAATCAATTTGTGGAACACTATTCATTGGTGGGGGACCTGTTGAGGCGAAAAGGAAAGTTGGTGGTAGGTCCTAGTGATACTCTCAGGGACAAACTGCTGAAATGGAGTCATTCCTCACCTGTAGCAGGTCATTCAGGAAGAGAAGCCACCCTGAAGAGGCTTAAAGCCATGTTTTACTGGAAGGGAATGAATAAAGATGTCTCGCAATTTGTGAGAAGGTGTCTAACTTGCCAAGCGTGTAAGTATGATAACTCGGCATACCCAGGATTATTGCAGCCTCTGCAAATTCCCACAGAAGTATGGAAAGATGTGTCCATGGATTTTATTGAAGGATTACCAAAGTCCATGGGCAAGGATGTTATCTTTGTCGTGGTGGACAGGATGAGTAAGTATGCCCATTTTATGGTCTTATCTCACCCCTATACTGCATTGGAAGTTGCTCAGAGTTATTTGGACAATGTGTTCAAGCTACATGGAATGCCAAACACCATAGTGAGTGACAGAGATACTGTCTTTTTGAGCCAATTCTGGCAGGCTTTATTCACCATCCATGGAGTTGACTTTTTGATGTCTACTGCCTATCATCCCCAAACAGATGGGCAAACTGAAGTGGT